TCACCGTCACGTAAAGCTTTTTTCATTCGGCGCGCGTCCCTGAACCGTGTTCTAATTTGAAAAACCGATCGGAATTTTATAGTGGAAAGATAAAAAAAAAAAAAAGAAAAAAGGAACAGAAACTGATCGAATAAGCGATGCCTACGCCATTGATAGAAAAGGAGAATGAGAAGTAGATATCACCGATACGAAGCAGCCCTCTCTTGCTCTCGTGACTGCGTGGAAATCGAATCGCTGGGACCACACGCATCCGGTGAACGCATTAAAGCTCCCGCGACACAAATTCCAGAAGTGAAATCCGCGGCAGCCGCATCGGTTATGCCAAGCCACCGACTCGTCGTTTCGCGTCCGATAAAGCTGCTAATGGTCATGTGTACGTTAACTATTACTCGATGTAACTTGTAGTATCCAGTGTGTCCTTCATTCACGCTGAACGCGAATCCCTTTTTTTCTCTTTGTTTCTGTCTCACTTACGAACGTATATATATCAGTACGGTAGCGGGCAAGATCAGCAACACGATCACGGTTATAGTAGCTGTAGAAATCGACTACGCCCTTCCTTCTCGCATACCCGGCGGTCTCGTTCGTCCACACTGGTATTCATCCTGCGGACGACAAGTATGATTTAAAGGGGAAGACCTACGGGACTACCGCTGGGCGAGGTAAAAGGAGAGAGAGAAGGACGATGGGATAGGAAAAAAAAGGAAAGTAAATCAATCTTGGGCCAAATTCTCTTAGATGCTCTCGCAAACCCGAACAACGCTACCAAATTATTGACTGACGTTGCGTGAAAGAGAAAAGAGAGAGAGAGAGAACGCGAGTATTAAATATTGATCTCTTTATTTGCTTGATATCCTTAGAAAAAACTGACTATCAAGATATGTATATACGTGTGTCTGTGTGTGTGTGTGTGTGTGTGTATGTCACAGGATATAAAAGTTTCGAATGACACACATGTTATAGTCCAATAAAATATTTGAGATTATATTAACAAAACGAACAAGTTGTCGAGTACGTTCGACTTCTCCAAGAACATCGTGGTTGGTCTTTTAGAGAGTGGACAAGCCACTTCTGTCCGTGAAATCGTCGATGGCTTGATGTCGAACAATCATAGTAATTGATGTCATTGGAATCTGGTCTTTCTTCGATCATTTTCAAGGAAAGAAACAGGAGGAAGTGAGCGCACGCGAGTCATGCGGAGATGAGTGTCCTATAGGTAGGATGCATCGTCATGGGAGTACCGATTATGTATCTCAATCATGGCAAACTACCGGGGCGGGAATCGGAGAGGCTGCACGTTCTGGCCCGCGGCCGCGACATGTGAGGTCCCCACCGACCTGTCTACCCGTTCTTCTACTCCTTTTACCGCCCAACTCTTCGACGATAAACAGTGTCTCTCATTCGTGCGTTCACCAGTAACGTCAATTATCGTCTAAGTTACATACTTCATAGGCATCGAATTTTCAACCCTCTCTCTCTCTCTCTCTCTCTCTCTCTCTCTCTCTCTCTCTCTCTCTCTCTCTCTCTCTCTCTCTCTCTCTCTCTACCTCCCTCCCTTTCGAGCTATAAAAAGCTTGCATTCGACGACGATAAAAAAGCTTTGAGACTTTGTTCAACGTGTGATTAATGATGGCCAACTGTTCCTGCTGTCGCCGAGCCCGCACAGAACATGTAATATGTATGCGCTCGAATTAACTTTTAAAGGGAAACGATGCGAGTTTGATCTTACGTTGGTCGAAGAGATAAATGATCGACGAACCGACGCCAAAGTAGTTATAGAATCTACGAATAGGAAACCGATAGGGAAATGGAGCGAATCGAAAGTGTAAATGGTTTCTCATCGATGATATTGAAGAGAACATATTCACGCGATGAGGTAATTATGCAATAAAAGATAACGGACGTGCTCGATGCTTTCATATGACGTTGTTTTTTGCATTTTATATAAATTGCATTAAGGACGAAGTTTTAACGCGATACCGCTCGGAAATAACGAGCTTTTACACCGGAGTGTACTTTCCATGCGTGGATATCTCGAGTCAAGCGTTAATTAGAACTTACGCTGGTGTTGGGAAAAAAATCCTTGCGATTAGCTTTGCAAAAACTTTGAAGAAGAAGAAGGAAAATTTACATATCAACTAGAAATACCTAAGAATTAGCTCGTCAGAGGACTTCGTTCATAGTTAATTGCCTTATAAAATGACAGAAAAGAAGAAAAGGATGTGGCGGTCGACAAAATCGACGAACAAGTCGACATCAAAGTACTCTTATCTCTCATACCACTCGAATCGTTTCAACGAGATCGACTTTAAAAACGAGCACGTCCAAGCTCCGTGATCGCACGAGTCAGCTACCTATGGAAGATCGAGCACGCTCGATGGCAAAAGCGGAGCAAGAGGCTTAATCACATGGAAGTAACGCCAGTCGTTCGCGTGCTTTCTATTCGGCAAAGTCTATTTTGTAAACAAAAAGGTTCTCTCGACGTGGCCGAGCACGCGAAAGTGCCCTGGAGTCAGCCGGTCTCGGAACTCTGCCAAAACGTCGCGTTGATCTCATTCCTATCCGTGCATGAGATATCCATGAGGTTTGACCGAGCCTCTGTCTCCCTTTCTCTTTCTCATAAGTATCTTTAAGACAGAAGGAGATAGATACGGAGAGTCGAGAAACTCGAGTTTTATTGTATCGCACCAAACGTGTATTTTGGTCTTGTCTAGACTCCTCGCCTTTCTTCGCTTCTACCACCACTTAAACTTCATCCTCTTCCATCTTTCTTTTCCCTCTTTCTCTCTCTCTCTCTCTCTCTCTCTCTCGCACTCGCTAGTATTTGCTGCTGAGACGGCAAACGAGGCGACAAGAGATTTTCTTCGTTCCTCATTCCTCTCTCTGTCTCTTTCTATCAACTCTGATTTTTATCCACTAACAATAAGCGAGATCACTTTGTTAATGGTAGACTCTGAAGTAGAGAATTTCAGTACGAGTACGTTCAGTCTCTGAACAGTAAATGAAAAGGACGATCGAAATCATTCGCTTGTTTCACGCAACTTTCCTCGTTATTCCCAGTATTTCTCGACGAGTACGCTTGAGCTGAGAGAGCGTGGTACACTCGACGAGTGCTGCTAAGCGTTTGGAAGTCGACTATATCCCTAAGCACAAAGCTTTCTAAACAAAAGTAAACGCTCCGAGAGCTTTTCTCTATATCATTCGATAGAAAGTATTATATAATCGATCGAAAATCTAATTATTTCCAACGCCTCATTTCTATTGTCACGATTGAAGTAAAATCGAAGAAAAATTTTCATCGAATCGTCTTATGCTCCATCTCGTATGAGAGTAGACAAGAACGAGCACGACTTAATGCTCGATTTCGAAACTGAGATCTGCTCATCCTGGTCGTCTCGTTGGGGATAATCGTTATGACAGGAGATACGACGAACGGCTCCGTTTTTATTCTTGGAGACTCGACGATCGTTCAGCCAGATGCCTTCCCTCTCGATCACCTACGATAATCCAGGAAGGGACAAATGCCTCGCACATGAATACACCATTTGTGTGTCTCTCTTCCTCCTCCTGCTTCTCTTCCTCTTCTTGCTCGTATCTACGCTTCGCTTCTCCTCTTTCGGATATCGTCGAGTGACCGTACCCTAGTGGCACTCACGTCGGTATACGTTAAGTACACGGCAGCTGTCGCTGACAAGTGCGCTACAGCGAAAGGATCGGCACGTACGCGTTATTTCAACACGCGAATGTACCAACCATTCTAGATCGCCAACACATGCTAAGGTCAAACGTAATTTTCTTCAAGAGGTTTCCTTCCCCAAGTTGATTAAAATCAACTATGGATCAGTTGCATTACGGTTCTCTTCTACCTCTCGCAGTTTCAATTAATTTTCTAATTCTCTTGGGATCGCTAGGAATTTATTCTTCATGGACGAAAAGCGGCGAAAGGCGAGTTAATTATGGGATAATCTATTTCGATGGAAAAGGTGAAGAAAAATATTCCCATTGAATGTCTCTCTTTTGCACAAAGGGAAACGAAAAGGACGGTAGATACCGTGTTCCCTCTCGTCACGTGCGTTATTCTGATTTCCGGCCCGGGACAAGCGACTCGTTTAGAGTCGGGGATTCTCTCTTTCTCTCCCCTCCTCTCTCTCTCTCTCTCTCTCTCTCTATTTCTCTCAGGGGATAATTCAATCGAGATTTATTCCCAGCCTGTTCTGGGGCTGGTCAGGAGCAGAGGACGCAAAGCACTCTTGGCTACGACGAATACAGAGTCATGAGAAGGAGGATGAGAACGCGTTCGGACATTTCGACAGGGCGGGAGCCTCATCTCTTTCTTTTATTTTCCATTTATCGCTGGCGGCAATATTCCGAGGGGATGACGTCATATCCTCCAAAGAGGGACCGAAGCAAAATCGAAATAAACCAACCGACGGTCCTCCGAACAATCACCGTTTTCGCACTCGAACGATACGCCAGAACGACGAACCAAACCATTTTTCGTGATTCGATTGATAATAAGTGACCGTTATGAATCACTCGTTACGTGCTTTCTTTTTATCACGTCCCCCTTCTCTTAGATTTCATTATTGATTTTTAGAAGAGAAAAGATTCTCGGAATTACGTTCGCGAGAGAGAGAGAGAGAGAGAGAGAGAGAAAGAGAAATAGGTATCAATCGCCCATCGTCGCTCAGAGTTCTTTCAATTTTGGAGATGGACGAACGTGATATCTCGGTATCTCGCACAAAACGTCTATTTGCACGGGTCTCAAAGTTCTCATCCACTCTCGGAAGAAATGAAGAATCGCATTCGAATGCAATAGTGCATTCTTCGATCGAGGAAAGAGAAAAAGAGAGAAAAGTCATATTCGAGATTAAAAACTTTGATGAACTTCTTGGCTAGTACTTTGGATGGAACTACGAACAATTGAACACCGAACTGCGAATAAAGGACATTGATTTTGGAGAATGGAATATTAAGAGACTTTGGTTTCTATGTTTCAGGTCCACCGGGAGAGCCAGGTCCGCCAGGGAAAAAAGGAAAGAAGGGCAAAAAGGGTGAACCCGGAGAGCCCGGGCCGCCGGTGAGTGCTCTCGATCCAAAGCGATCGACTACCCCTGCCACTCGAAAAGCACGTTTCACTCCTCCACCCCCTTACCACTTCCCAGCCTATCGTAGCGCACCAATACACACGCACTCTAGAAGAGAGACAACCGCAAATGCCCGAGCATGACATAGTACAGTAGCTAACGGTATACACGAGCCGCTCTTGATCGCGTGGAGGAGAAGGAGGAGAAGGAGGAGAAGGAAGGAAGAAGAGCCGGACGACGAGCATTCTTTTCTCCATTCGCTCCACCATTTCTTCCACTCTTTCGTATAAATCAAGAGATACCGGTTATATTAGCAGGTAAAATAGGGACCTCCTTTTCAACGTTAACAAAAAGAAAACCATCTTTGGTTTTATAATGGACGTTGACAAATCATCTCCATCAGAAAGTTTTTTCTCTTCTCACCTATATCTCAAAGAAATTCAATCGCTATTTCTCTAGAACGTATTATTAAGTATCGTGTAGTTTTCAGATCGGGTAGACGAGATTGCCAATTCGTGCCTTCGAACGATCATCCTTTTGATACAGCTGCTAGAGCAGCCTTATCGCGATCCTTTCGAAGAACAAAACAAAAATTTTCTCTCTCTCTCTCTCTCTCTCTCTCTCTTTCTCTCTCTCTTTCTCTCTATATTTTTCTTTTTGTGGTGCTCGCCACTCGATCCAAGATCCTGTGGTCAGGGCCACGTCGAGGTAGCGCGTGTCGCGCATTGGCCGCACGTTTGCACGCTGCGGGAATATCTAATTGGCCGGAATAATTATCGGCCTGCACCTTAACGGAACGTACGTACTTACCTACTCGATACTAGCCGTGTTCTCCCTCTCTCTTACTCTCTTACTCTCTCTCTCTTACTCTCTCTCTCTCTCTTTCTCTTTCTCTTTCTCTTTCTCTTTCTCTTATGTTTTCCGTACGATCCACAACATGATAGGATCGCGATCACGACTCATGAGCACGGAACAAATGCTTTTGCATGAGCGCGAGAGTACCTAATCCCTTTCCACAGTAAATGAGTTTTTAATTTGTTATACCCCTTCTTACAGGGTGTGGCCGGGACGCCGGGCAAGAACGGTTTTCCGGTATATTATTTTTTATTTTCTTTCCATTCCTTTCTCTCTCTCTCTCTCTCTCTGTCTTGTCGCTCTTTGTATCTAGCTCTCTTTCTCTATTTTCATCGTCTATGTGATTGCAATCATCAGATTCTATCGTTTATCACGCTGCGAATCTTCTTTCTTCAGCTTCGATCCATTAAACCAGCTTATTTCCTCATCGATCGTGCCATCCTTTTTTAATTTCGATCTTCTCTCTCTCTCTCTCTCTCTCTCTCTCACATATTTTTTTAATTTTTTTTCTTTCTTTCTTTCTTCGATTCTTTTCAAAGCACTCATATACAAAGCCCAGTACGATTCGCCTAGATATGACATTATGTCGTTCGTCTCCAAATACGCTGGCTCGTTTGTGAAATTGGCAGCGCAAGAGTAATTCACAGATCTTGTTGTAGGCACCATGAAGGCTTTCCCGTATTGCGTTGCTCATACTACTATCACTTCAAACAGCAATATACTCAACGCTGCTGTTACTACTCCTGTTATTATTGTGTCGATCAATAACCCAACCTGCACGAATGTTATCAATGGAAGCAGTATTGGAAAAGATAGTATCGGATTCAACATATTTAACAATTTTGAAACTACGTTATCTTCCTTTTCATTTTATTCATATATCACGTTTTACTCGAATTTGTTAACAACGATTTTTTAGAATGACGATAATCGGTCGGATACTTTAACGTTCATCAAAACGTTTCAACCTTCTTTTTGGATGTCTCTTTAGCTGAAAATAGACGAGAATCATCAATAACTGAAAATTGATAAATGCGAGAAGCATAAAGCCGAGAAATAATGCCGATAATAACGGCGATGGATGACGTAACAGCATCGTCATTCGAGCTAGTCGGCCATGACTTGCGCTGCCAATATTTGAATTTTACGTGAAAGGACACGTTTAAACGAGATATCAACGATGGAACATTGAATTTAACAGCCGTCGTATTTGGATACGTATTTTGATTATTATCGTCATACTCTCAGTGGTGCCTCTATCTCTGTCGCGTTTGCTCATCTACATATATATGTATATATATATATATATGTATACACACATATATGTATATGTATATGCATACATGTACGTATATATATGTATATGTGTATATATATATATATATACATATATATACATATACGCCAAGGAATGATATCTTCAAGGCTGCGCCTCAGCCCACTCGATTTTCACTTTCCTTCGTTCGTCGTTAAAATCGTCAAGCGACGAACATCGCTAATCAGTCTCTTCTTTCAGGGACCTATCGGGTTGGACGGACCTAAAGGAGATGCGGTAAGTTTCTCAGCAAGTAGAGAGATTCGAGGCTTCGACAATAAATTTACTCCTTTTCCACGTCGAGAAGAGATTCAGCCAAGTCTTTGTTCGTAACAATGGTAATTCGATCCAAGTTCGTAACTAGATAGGAAATTTTGGATCACGCGTTTGTTGGAGTAGATCGAATTCATTTATATCTTTCGTCGATCGTTCGACACCTTCCTCGATCCAAGAAATTTCCTAACAACGCAACAGGTACCGATAGACCGAGTAAATTTCATTAAACGTCGATCACTCCGCTTCTTCTCACTCTCTGTCCGTCCCTCCGGCGAGAACGTCGGAATAACAACGCGAAAGGACATGTTCGACGTTGACGACAATCGGACGTGTAAAGCAATAGAAAGACGGATCACGCTCGACGTCGGCCATTTTCGCGCTCGAATTTACCAGATAAATCTGATATCCGGATGTCCTGCTTCTCTCGAGCAGACAAATTGGAACGTTTCAATGGAAACACTCAAATATCTTGATTGCTTTTCAACGTAGAATGGTATAAGCTTTTCAAAAGGGAAAAAAAGAAAAAATTAGTATTTCGAAGTACACACGATTGGTAAAAAATTTATATCCTGATGAACAATCCGATTTGTATGTGGGGAAAATAAAAAAGAAAAAGAAAAAACTTCAGGTGTTTTCATTTAAATATCAAATCCAGATATTCACACCTATGCTTCGATGAATTTAGCCCCAGAAACATAGCCGAGTGATATCGACGTGTGATCGAATTTCGTTCTCTCCGAATCGTGTCATACCAGTCCTGAATTTGCATGTGTATGCGTATACACGGATATGGAAAGGAAAAAAAAAAACAAAAAAAAAAAAAAAAAAAAAAAAAAGAAAAAAAGAAGAAAAAAAAAGAATATAGCCAGAGAAACGATCGTTTATGCGCTAGTTCTATCTATCTCTCTTATTGAACAACGAAGATAGCGCATCGTTCCGCCCGTATAAACAAACGGAAATTGGAGAGACGAGTGCATCGCAAATATTCCTAGATATTTGTCTTCTGGACGGACAAAGGAGAAGAAGAAGAGGAGAAGGAGGATAAAAGAGGAAAGAAAAAAAGGGAGAAAAAGAGGAAAAGAAAAAAAAAGGCTTTGATCGACTGGCTCGACGGTACCTCTTTGCTTGTCTCTACCTACACGCCGCGGGCTGACCACGCAAACTACGAATGTGTACTTAGGTGCTTACCTCAGAAGAATCTACCAAGTAATTACCATAAAATTTGACGATGCAATGTCTACCATGTTTCAGGGAATGTTTTATCATATGTTCCTTCGTACAAATTTCATTAGCCTTTCCTCTTACCGAGGAAATGTCCTCTCATCTTAATATTTCTCTGGATAAATTTAGAAAGTAAAAAAAAGTCCTTCACTCGAAAACGCAATATCCATGGTCTATAGAAGTAACGTAACGTTTCGCAATTTCTTTTAATTATCTCTTTTCACGTTCACGTTGTTCATTTGCAGGGTCGACCGGGCGAGAAAGGACAAAAAGGAGAACTTGGAAGCCCTGGCTTCGATGTCTTCTCAGCAGTAAAGGTACCTACCTATGTTACGTAAATGTGTCTCTACATACACATAAATATATATATATATATATATATATATATATATATATATATATGTGCGTGTATGTGTGCGTGTATATAGGATATATAGCAACGACACCCTAAGGATTTGGCACACGAAAGAAGGGCTTTAACACGAAAACGTATCGCTTTCTCGGCTCTTGTCGCTCGTTTCCTGCCCTTTAGAGACCGATCTGCTAAATTCTCATTCGCGTTACGTTCCTTGGCGTAAAGCTATACGCCTGGGAGTACAATGTACCACTGTGAAGTTGCGAAAATCTTTGTGAGAAAGTGTTCGCAGGTAAAAAGTAGTAACGAGTAAAGCGATGTCTCTTTCGTATTAAACTTCTCTCGAATAAGATAAATAACGTAATTAATAATTTTTCTTTTCTTTCATCAAGTCAACATTATTTCCAGTGTCTAACAATGAAAAAAAAAAAAAAAAAAGAAAAAAGAAAAAAGAAAAAAAAACATTTTCATTCACGAGTGCACTAATTTACTTTCATATTTTCATTTATAGAGCACCTTATTATCGACGTATACATCCGTCTGTCGCTTGTCAAAATGTCATATTATTTAACGATCGTACGAGATGCGCGGCAATTGTACCTCCGTGTTTGTTAAGAGATAAAGATAATTAATAGCTATGGTTATCAGAGTAAGAGGTCTCACGTAAACGAGTAGTCGTAAAATCAATCGGCAAAATTTATTCAATCCCTCTCTCTCTTTCTCTCTCTCTCTCTCTCTCTCTCTCTCTCTCTCTCTCTCTCTCTCTCTCTCTCATTGTAACATGTTATGGGATCCAACCAAAATAGAAATAGTATGCAATCGAAATAAGCAATAGAATAAATTGGCCCAGTTCGAAATATTATTACAGAGGCGCCATTCTCGCAATGCATATACTCTCGTATCGATCGTTAGCATCAATCGTCGCTTCGTCGATTACACGAAAACGCATCTACGCGCTATCCTTTTTCTTCTTCTTCTTCTTCTTCTGCTTTATACTTTGTTCTTTGTCTATCTCTCTGTCTCTCATTTTTACGCGTACGTGCGTTCGAGCGTGGACGAAGCGGCCACATTAAAAAAAAAAAAAAAAAATCCCTACGAGCAGTCGATCTAGGCTGACAATGGAGATTTCAAAAAAAAATAAACCATCTTTCCTTCCACCTACGGGTCAATGCACAGGGATTGGGGTTAAAGAGGTCGGTGACGACCCTCCGTGGCGGGACACTCGGATATGCGGAAATCGTCGCTCTGAAGGTAACCGGCCTCTTCCGTAAGCCGACACGCTCGTGTCGCTTTCTTCTGGATCTCTTCTCTCTCTCTCTATCTCTCTCTCTCTCTCGTCGTCGCTACTCCTTGTTTCTTATTCCTACATCATGCAACACAAGCTCTCTTCCTTTCTCTTTCTCTCTCTCTCCACCTCTCTCTCTCTCTCTCTCTCTCTCTCTCTCTCTGCCTCTGTCTCTTTCTGTCTTATCTTTCTTTCTATCTCACTTCACAGCCATCACCAACATCACCGCCATACAATGTTTCGAAACATCCCTTGTATTTTGTTACCAACTCTTGACGAAGCATAGTTCCCATCCGAGAACCGGATCGTTCTGTTCATTTTAGACGTTGCCTCTTACGGTGCTTTCGGTGTAGCGTATTCTTCGTTGGTTTATATGGTTGAATGCACAAGGATGGAATCGTCGATCAAAACTTGTACAAGTGTTTTCTCAAATAAAAGTAAAATACTTCAATCGTAGAAAATAGATTTGATCGAAACGAATCATCCTTGGGTTTTCTATTACTTTGGTTTTTTTTTCTTTTGTTGGTAATGGTGTTTAATTTAAGTTACAGTATTTAGGTATATACCTGGGCATGCCGCGGATTTGGAGCGAGCGATGAAAAATGAGATATCCCGCAAAAAAAAAAAAAAAAAAAAATTACGTAGCTACTGTTTATTCCCTCGCCTTCAAACTACAATCTCAATCAGCCTCACCTTAGACTCCTCGATGTAAACAGTAATTCCTATTGATCTCAAATTCCCAGATCGACAAAAACACGATCGAACGTTTGAAGGTTGTTCCTCTTTTCTGCCAGACCTACGTTTTGCCGTTTAGTAGCGATTTGGTTTTTACCCGTAGTTGACGTACTTCTAGGGACTTCAGGAGCAAGGGCATAATATATCGACGCAAACCATCATACAACTCAAAGTAAGTGCGCCTGCTCTTCTTCTTTCCACATCCTTTTACGATCCAATTTTCCTTCTTTACAAAGAAAAATCAATTTGGTAGAATTCATTCGGCTTTTTGATCGTCGTGCTTTTGTTCTTTTTTTTTATTCTAAATTACTATTACAAAACTCATACAATTATAATCGATGTATACGATATTTATTGACTTTATCGCGTTAGAAATATTTCATCAAAGGATCTGTACGGGACGGATCGTATACTCGACGTTGATGATAAAGGCCTATATCTTAAACATCAAGGAAAGTCAGACGACTTTATGCACTTTTCTAGTCAACGCTATTTTATCTTCTATCATGTCGGAACCTTTTACGGTTATATGTATATACCTACCTCGCGTAACGTGGCTCTCTGCTCGTCGAATAAATTTACTTTAAACGCGTTGAACGTCGCCACGGTAAGAGAGAAAAGAGGAAAAGAAGAAAAATTGTATTTCGTTGTGAAAATATAAAGGAAGGAAACGCTTCGTGCGCTCGGAAAGCCGAACGGAATGAGTATAGAGAGAGAAAAAGAAAACACACGAAAAAAGAAAAAAGAAAAAGAAAAAATAAGGAAAACTTGTCTTACATCTTTAGTGAAAAATTATACTAATTATAATATTTACGTGCTAATACGGCTTAACATTACGTAATTTTACTACTTTCTGAAGCTCGTTTTTAACTAATAAAAAGACATGCACGAATCTCTATGCTCGCTACCAGAGAATTAAAAAAAAGAAAAAAAAACTTATCCACCTTATTTCACCGTCTCGAATTGTGGTTTCTGATGATAAAAAAAGAACCAATCTCTCTCTCTCTTTCCTTTCTCTGCCTATCTCTCTTTCTCTCTCTCTCTCTCTCTATCTCTCTATCTCTCTCTCTACATCTCACTCTCTCTGTTTCTCTCTTTATTTTTCCTTCTCTTTCTCTCTGTCATTACCTCTCCCACCACTTCTTCCCGCATGGCCGATCTACAGACACTATGGTTCACTTGAAATCAAACGCATTCGTACGAACGAACGTGTTTGCATATCGCATGAATACTTTTACAATTTGTAGTTTATGTTATGCTTAGATTCCCTGCGGCTAGTTGCATATATAGATGTGTATATATATATATATACATATATATATGTATATGTATATATGTGTGTGTGTGTGTGTGTGTGTGTATGTGTATGTGTGTGTATATCTAGAAACGATTGCAACGCGACGATTTCTGTGTATTTAGGAACGTAAAATAGGTAGAGCTTAGAATTGCATGTATCTTTTGAAAATGGCACTTTGTGAATAACTCTTAGAAAAAGATCTCTCTATTTCGCTATTCTTCTCTTGCTTTTTTTTTCCATTAAAAATAAGAAAAAGAAAACGAGTAGGAAGCGAGCGTTCGTTGAGAATATTCCCGAGGCAAACGTAAATATCTCGGAATTATTTACTTTTTACGGAGAAGAACATAAAAGAAGGAGACTACCGTAACGAGTAGTTTTGCTCATTAACGGAATCACTCTCTGGAGAAAGTAATGCTTCCTAGCGATGGTGGAAGGAAACAGAGTCGATGGTAAAGCTATTCAGATTTTCTTAAAAAGCCATAGCCACCCTTTATTACATAATCAAACACTTCCCCTTGATAATATTATTACTTATTATTATTCTATAAGGGAGAAAACGGTAAGCTTTTAATCTGTTGGATTTTGTTTCTCGAGGAATATAAAAGTACGTATGTATTATACGTTCGTTCGCTCGATCGCTCGCTCGCTCGCTCGCTCGCTCGTTTACACACGCAGGCAGGAAATATTATTGCATTTCGTTGATGTCATTTTGCATCTGCACGATCGATTTTGTCCGTTCGTTCGATTACTCGACCATTTTTTAAATTGGCTACTCGTTCGACACCTGCGATCTCAAATCGATATACATATTTTCCAAGGGCAATGGCAGCCTCACCGTCACAACTACCGCAACCACCGACATCGTCATAATCAAGCAACGTGCATGCCGTATTTTCCGTGCGTGGAACTCGACGTCTCTCACGATCTGTCCTACGTATCTATCACGGATGTTCATAGACCAAGACACACCCAGAATCAAAACACGCACACTACTAACGTAGATAGGAGGCTATCTCCTGCGATAGATGCCGGGAGGGAGGAAGGGGTGATCCATCCTCGTTTCCTCGGCCACCGGTATGTTGTATTTGACGTACGTACATGTACCATAGCGTGCCCGTGCGCACATTATCTTCGCGTATCGTCATGTACCGTCGTCTTTCATACGTCTACTCTCGTTATACGACGCGTGTCTGTAACCGTTCCTAGCTCTCTTTACCTTGTCTATGAGATTGCAATTTTTGTTTCTACTTTCATCGACGTCGATGAATATACATATAATATTTTTTTATTATTACCATCCTCGCGCGATATAATATCCACGCTCGATCGAATACGTTCCAGCCGGATTTAATCGATCTTTTCGTCGATCGCAAACTCGATTAATTCAAGATCGGTTCGTCCGGTGTAGACTTTCTTTTATTTCGTTTTATTTTCTTCTCCATGGGATTTTAATTACACGCTGAACGCACTTTATATTTATTATATATAGACCGAGCACTCAGTTAATTACCGGTTATCCTCCGCTTTTTCGCCGTAGGAGATCCATCGACGTAGGTTCGATTCGAAATGATCTATAAAAGAGAGCCGGTCCTTTTATTCGCTCGACAGAACACTCAGCGATACACTTGGGAGCGCACGATTGATTTCCACGCACGGTTTTTCTCGAGATTTTCTTTTTCCTTCGATCCTACATACGGGAACACGTCCATTCTCTATTTCTCTCACATTTTATACTTCCCTTTCCGTCTCTCCCTTCCTCTCTCTCTCTCTCTCTCTCTCTCTCTCTCTGTCTCTCTCTGTCTCTCTCTCTCTCTCTTTCTTTCTTTCTTTCTCTTTTATACGCTCACCAACACCCACGCCTTGCTGCTCCTTTTCCGGTCCCATCCATCCGTGGCACAAAACCGACGAGCACCGAGAGACACTCTTGTCGAGGGCTCTCGTCAGAGGAAAACCGTAACGACGTAACGCTCTTGGGACGTAACAGGGTGAGCCAGGAGAACCCGGGCCACCGGGTCCACCAGGTCCACCAGGATCAGAGGGTCTCCCAGGACACGAAGGCAGACAAGGGATTCCTGGTGAAGTCGGTTCGCCGGGAGAAAAAGGTGCGCCTGGACCAATCGGACCAATTGGTCCATCCGGTATTCCAGGACTTCCGGGTCCTAAGGTAACATTTTTGTATTCTCTTCCTATTATTTATATATACATATTTTTCCATAAATATTTTCTTTCCTCTATACTATGTAATTTCGAATGAATGAATTCGATGAAATCCATTGGAAAATTTTACGTCTGACTAAGGCCTAGAAATATTAACGTCGGAATATCGATTATCGTTGCATCGCGATATATAGCTACTACCATCTCTCCGTTAATCCTCCCTTTAATAGCTTTATTAAAACTTTAAATTTCTACGATCTATATAATCTCGACAATCCTTCTTACCTTTTTTTCTTTTTTCTTCCTGTTTTTCTTTCTTCCTGTTTTTCCCTTCTTTCATTCCGCGAAGAAGATTACCGGTCTTTTTCTAAAAAATTATTATCAAGTTCTTTTCCCGTTCTTCGCAGTTTCTTATTC